GTTTCATATCTTGGAGCATTTCCGATTTCAGATTTTTGGATTAGGACAACACTACTTAACCTGTAGTGTTGTCTTCAGCTCTGCTTGTAATTTACAATTGTCTGGAGTTCATGTCAGTTGTATTAGGAAAACTCATTTTGCTTTTAAGTGTCACTGATAAAACACTAACAGTACCTGTGCTCCACATTTTTAAAGTAAGCAAGGGTTGAGGACGGTCCTGGGTGAGTTCATGTGTTCTCTGCACTGAGCACCATTAATTTATTCCACTACTAGAATTTCCTTTCTTGGATCTTGAATCAAGATATGGAAAGTGAAAGGATGTATGAAAATTCTGTGAGAATTCTATATAAATTTTCCTATATATTTTTTCATATTTTATTTGAATGAAGTGATTTAAGTAGAAGCTCATAGTTGATGGGGTGGTTGGGAGTCTTTAAAATATTTGTGAGAGAACTGCATTCTTTTAACTAGTTTTTTAATGTATAACAACTTTCATGAATATCCTAATATGCCTGGCAAAGAGTTGGCACTTTAAACTGAAAGGAGCTAATATCACTGCTAGTACCTTCTGGTTGTGGAGAGTAAACCCACATTTACTGAGCCACCTCTGTTGCACTGGCAGTAGGAGCCTTCTGTTACTTATTGCATGTTAAACCTTTAGGAGCTAAGTGGTTTCATTTTACAAACAAGACAATTGAGGCTCCTGGAGATAAGTTGTTTGCCTACAGTCTTGCAGTTAGGAAGTGGCAGAGCATAGAACCCAGCCCTTCAAAGTTTGGCTCCTTTCTGCTGTATAGTACCACCTGTACCCGTGAAATCTGAATCATGAAATCTGGTAATTGGGGGGGGGTTAGGATGGAAGAAACAGGCTTTGAATATGACTATGTTATTCCTTTGGTTTTGGTAGGTTACACACAGGTAACATAACAGGCAATTATGTTATAATTCGGGCCATTAGGTTTTCAGAGGTGTCTGTGTGTTCTATGTCCTTTAAATTAGCTAGTAAAGTAGATATTTTTTATTTGAGCAGCACTCATCAAGCCTACCATTGACAGGCTGGGCCTGTTCAGGTTGTCCCTTGAGTGTGTGGTTTGTAAATTGACTCCAGAGCTAAAGAGATTGGTCACTTTTAGGGTTACCATACTCCAACCTTTGTTAGCCTACATGTGTCAGCCTACATGTGTCATTGAATTTGTGACTTGGACCCCTGACTGAGTTTAAGGATCATTTTCCTTGTTTCTTACTTGGTGTTTATGGCAGGACTACTACTACCTTTTTTTTTTTTTTTAATAGAATAAGCGTATGTCTTGATTTTACAGATTTTTCCAGAATAGTTTCCTGGTTGGAAGATAAATTATATGATCACTCTAGATAGTAGAAGAGAGATTTGGTCGTTATAACTAATTATATTTTGGTTGATATGTTTTATATAACCTGAATGAGTTTAATTAGCTGGTTTAAATTTGATTTTACCTTATTTTATAACTGATCAAATGCAGCAAATATTTATATATACTTCTCTATTTGGATTAATTCTTCATTTGTAATTTAATTCATCCAAAGACATGAAATAATACCGAAATTGCATTCTAATTCTCTGCAAAACTATCAGTAAAAACATTACTTTCTGAGAAGAATACTCTCTTTTGGGGAGGAATCTGCTCTGTTTCAAAGCACCTTTGGTATTCAAGTTTTGTCTAAATTTGTCCATCACTAAGGGACCATTTCTTTATACATTCTACAAATATTACTATCATTATAGAAATAAAATTTTAAAAAGTTACCAAGGAATCAACCCACATAACTTTTCATAATTATACCTGTTTTACTGCTTATCTCACATTTCTCATTTGAGGTTTTCTTGAATTGTGAACTATGAAAAAAGGGCATATATAAATTTAAAAATATAAGGTAAACTTCATGTTAGCTGAAGAAAAGATTTTTTTTCATGTGTATTCTTCTAAACATGAACTCCAGGCAGTATTCATTTTATTTTGTTGAAATGTTTATGTCTTTAAAAGAAAGATGAAACATACAAAACTTACAAAGTATATTTTATTTGGAACCCTTTTTAAGGAATATATAACTTTTTTCCTGAAAGGCTGAAATTCAAGGCTGTGACAATCTCTCTTCATGACTAGAGTATGAAATTTAGCAGCATTGTATTTTGTATCTTTCTACAAACTAAACTGACCTATTTTTGGTTTTATTTTGTTTTTCCTTTTCCAGTCTTTACCAGGTGCTGGTCTCTGGATGTATTTTGTTTAAGTTGGAAAAATCTAAAAACCTACCCACAGACTGGTATAGTATCCAGTGAGAAGGGGACTGTCTGCATTGGCATTGGAAGGGGCTAAGGAGGCCTAGGCAGAAAGAGTTGAGAACTCAGCCGTGAGCTGCCATTTGCCCACTGTCTGCTACTTCTCCTGTGGGCAGAACATGTTTTCTAGTTTACCGGCTCTTCTAGAGAAGTTAGGGGTTAAGCCCAGCATGGGAATTTCAACCAGTTTGAACATTCAGCAGGGAGCAGAATATGGCTAGATACCTGCCTTGCATGCCATATTTGACAATGAGAAGCAATGTAATTAATTGATAGTAGCAGTATTTCCTAGTGATCAAGGAAGGAAGTGGTTGTTTCTGTGCACTTTTGTTTGTTCTCTGAAAAAATAAGCTGCTACAGCAGCCACTACTACACATAACCCACCTCACCTCCCCCTGTACAAAAACAAATACCCTGGGTGTTTTTCTTTCCTTTCTTTGGGAAACATGGTAAGCTGCTACCATTGAGAAGAGTGATACCTTCTGACCAGTGAGCCAGGAGGCTTCTCTATGGAGATTGAAACGGATGAGTATGGCTTGGAAGTCGGTGGCTGGGAGTGCTCTGTGGAAAGCAGGGTTTCAGAACTGCCAAATGGCAGTTTTGTCATTGAGGACTTTTCCCTTATACTGAAACACTTAAAGGTGCCCTTTTTAAATAACCAATGTTTATTAGTCAGTCTGATTAGATTTTATTAAAAATTCAGGTGATTCTTCCTAAATAATGTCAAAGTGTTTTTTTAAGAAACTTAAGTTTTTTGGCCAGGTGCAGTAGCTCATGCCTGTAATCCTAGCACTTTGGGAGGCCAAGGTGGGAGGATTGCTTGAGGCCAGGAAGAGACCAGCCTGAGCAAGAGGGAGACCTGTCTCTACTAAAAATAGAACACTAAGCCAGAGTGGTGGCTCGGGCCTGTTGTCCCAGCTACTCGGAATGCTGAGACGAGGATCGCTTGAGGTCAAGAGTTGGAGGTTGCCTTCTCCAAGTTTTTTGGGGTGGGGAACATGGTCATAGAAATATGACCAACTTCAGGATTTGGCATATATGAAGTGATACAAATCTCAACTTTTAGTATGTTTTTTGCTTTTGTCTGACAATTATGCCAATCACTGACATCTTTAGGAGGAAAGATTTTAATTAGTTTTCTTAGCATAAAAAAGGCTTAAAGATGAGATGAGAACATTTCTGTCCAGGCAGCTTTATAAAGGAGACCTAACAACCTCATTTGGTAGGGCATTAGTCTTTAGGCCTTATGTCTGGCTCCTTTTCTTGCCAGTGAGGAAGACATTTTAAAGTTGTTAGTACCGTGGTCTATTTTGAACAGTTTTGAAAAGAGGTGGCTTTAGTATCATTTATAGGACTTTAGTTTACTGCTGATTTTAAGAGGAAAATGCCTAGATTCATCGGAAAGCAACTTTTCTTTAAGTACAGAAAGGCATTTTGCTCTCTGAGGTTGCCTAATTGCAGAAGGAGACATCACTTAGAAGTTAACATGTGGAAGGCGTCAGGTTGAATAAAAATCTTCTTTGTATTGATCTGTGAGCTATAATTTCAATTAACATTGAAGATTCAGAATTTTTTTTCCAGGAGAAAAACTATCACATTAATAAACTTGATTTTTAAGTAAATTTAAATGTCTGTTTTACAGAGTGATTATCTTAATCCAGGACTGAAAAATATCTGATTGATTTACTGAAGATGATTTGTTAGCTAATAATGGTCGACAGTTGTTTTGTTGTGGTTTGGAAGACGACATGATAAATTATTTTTCAGTCTTCCAGAAAACTTTTCTCCTTTTCCCTCCTCCCTGTTTTTAATACCCTTCACCAAAAAAGCATTAAAAGGAAAAAATACTCAATGAAGTCAAACCTAGAGTAAGTGCCTTTATCCTCTCAGAGGTACTTAGAAATACTGCCTGATGAAAAATAAGAGAAGGAAATTACCTTTTTAAAAGTTTTTTTTTTTTTTAATCTTCCAATATCTTCAAACTAGCAGAAATAATAAAATTTTAGTTGTTCTGTAAGTTGTATGTTCCTAGTTTTTTGTGCAGAATGTCTCGTTTCCCAGTAGGGCAGGAGACATCTCACAGATTCTAGGTCACTCTATGATAGCTATACACATTTACAGAAGGACTTTAGTCAAGTTTTGCAACAGTGGATTTCCACAGACCGAGCCTTACTTGGTCTCTGGGGGTAGATGATACTACCTACCTATTAAACATCACCTGTCTGTTCCATCCAGGACCCTAAAATGGCCATAAAGTTAGCCCCAAAGTCTCTTGGGGGGATTCTTAGTATTTGAATTTCATTTTCACACCCTTATTATGAATAGTGTTTTCCCCTCTTTAGGGTGATATAAGATCTTAATGGCCTGTTCCAATCTTGAGTCTAGCATAGTGAGACAAGAAAGGGCAATGTCATGGTAGACAGTCACTGAAGTTAAGCTACTGGAGTTATGAACTTGATAAATTTTTGTTCTTAGTTCAAAATGATAAATATTCTCACTTTAAGTATTAGCTGCCATAGTATAGATTGTTCTTTGCTGTGGAACTGAAGTGTACTGTAAAAGTTTTTTTCTTTTTATAAAGAATGTCTTGTTACGCCGTGTTTGCTAGACTGAAAGTTTCCTCATCGCATGGTGAGACCCTCCTCTAATTCAATCTTTGTCTTTTGTCTTTGCTGCCTTGCAGGGTTGGTACAGTAGGCTTCACTAGACTTAGCTGCAACTCAGAATTTCTCCTCCAGCACCTGAGTAAATGCTGATGGTCTTGTGGAGAGTGGATTAAGAGTACGAGCTAAGTTCTCAGTCCCAGTTAAGAAGCGGAAAATTTAAACTGTCTCCTTCAAAGTTTATCACAACCACCACCATCAAGACAGCAAACCAAAGGACAAAGACTTTGACCTGCTTTGTTGCTCTGTGTAGTCCGGTTCACGTATGGTTTACAGACTTGGCTGGGGTTACTAAAAAGTAAATAAAAAGTCGGACACTTCTGTTACTGGACGCTTTTATTCACAAGTTACCAGAATGAGGGCTGTACTGGAGACAGCAGACATTGCCATAGTGGCCCTGTATTTTATCCTGGTCATGTGCATTGGTTTTTTTGCCATGTGGAAATCTAATAGAAGCACTGTGAGCGGATACTTCCTGGCGGGGCGCTCTATGACCTGGGTGGCAATTGGTGCCTCTCTGTTTGTGAGCAATATTGGGAGTGAGCACTTCATTGGGCTGGCAGGATCTGGAGCTGCAAGTGGATTTGCAGTGGGCGCATGGGAATTCAATGCCTTACTGCTTTTGCAACTTCTGGGATGGGTTTTCATCCCGATTTACATCCGGTCAGGGGTATACACGATGCCTGAATACTTGTCCAAGCGATTTGGTGGCCATAGGATTCAGGTCTATTTTGCAGCCTTGTCTCTGATTCTCTATATCTTCACCAAGCTCTCAGTGGATCTGTATTCGGGTGCCCTCTTTATCCAGGAGTCTTTGGGTTGGAATCTTTATGTGTCGGTCATCCTGCTCATTGGCATGACGGCTTTGCTGACTGTCACCGGAGGCCTTGTTGCAGTGATCTACACAGACACTCTACAGGCTCTGCTCATGATCGTTGGGGCACTTACACTTATGGTTATTAGCATGATGGAGATTGGTGGGTTTGAGGAAGTTAAGAGAAGGTACATGTTGGCCTCACCAAATGTTACTTCCATCTTATTGACATACAACCTTTCCAACACAAATTCTTGTAATGTCCACCCTAAGAAAGAAGCCCTGAAAATGCTGCGGGATCCAACAGATGAAGATGTTCCTTGGCCTGGATTCATTCTTGGGCAGACTCCAGCCTCAGTATGGTACTGGTGTGCTGACCAAGTCATCGTGCAGAGGGTCCTAGCGGCCAAAAACATTGCTCATGCCAAAGGCTCTACTCTTATGGCTGGCTTCTTGAAGCTTCTGCCAATGTTTATCATAGTTGTCCCAGGAATGATTTCCAGGATACTGTTTGCTGATGATATAGCTTGCATCAACCCAGAGCACTGCATGCAAGTGTGTGGAAGCAGAGCTGGGTGCTCCAATATTGCTTACCCACGCCTGGTGATGAAGCTGGTTCCAGTCGGCCTTCGGGGCTTAATGATGGCAGTGATGATTGCAGCTCTGATGAGTGACTTGGACTCTATCTTTAACAGTGCCAGTACCATATTCACCCTTGATGTGTATAAACTCATCCGCAAGAGTGCAAGCTCCCGTGAGCTAATGATTGTGGGGAGGATATTTGTGGCTTTTATGGTGGTGATCAGCATAGCATGGGTGCCAATCATCGTGGAGATGCAAGGCGGCCAGATGTACCTTTACATTCAGGAGGTAGCAGATTACTTGACACCCCCAGTGGCAGCCCTGTTCCTTCTGGCAATTTTCTGGAAGCGCTGCAATGAACAAGGGGCTTTCTATGGTGGAATGGCTGGCTTTGTTCTTGGAGCAGTCCGTTTGATACTGGCCTTTGCCTACCGTGCCCCAGAGTGTGACCAACCTGATAACAGACCAGGCTTCATCAAAGACATACATTATATGTATGTGGCCACAGCACTGTTTTGGGTCACAGGACTCATTACTGTAATTGTTAGCCTTCTCACGCCACCTCCCACGAAGGAACAGATTCGTACCACCACCTTTTGGTCTAAGAAGAGCTTGGTGGTGAAGGAGAGCTGTTCCCCAAAAGATGAACCATACAAAATGCAAGAGAAGAGCATTCTGAGATGCAGTGAGAACAGTGAGGCCATCAACCACGTCATTCCCAATGGGAAATCCGAAGACAGCATTAAGGGCCTGCAACCTGAAGATGTTAATCTGTTGGTGACCTGCAAAGAGGAGAGCAACCCGGTGGCTTCCTTAGGTCATTCAGAGGCGGAAACACCGGTAGATGCTTACTCCAATGGGCAAGCAGCTCTCATGGGTGAGAAAGAGAGAAAGAAGGAAACGGAGAATGTAGGCCGGTATTGGAAGTTCATAGACTGGTTTTGTGGCTTTAAAAGTAAGAGCCTGAGCAAGCGGAGTCTCAGAGACCTGATGGAGGAGGAGGCCGTTTGTTTACAAATGTTGGAAGAGACTCCACAAGTCAAACTAATACTAAATATTGGACTTTTTGCTGTGTGTTCACTTGGGATTTTCATGTTTGTTTATTTCTCCTTATGAACTTAAGGATATGGTGAGACACTAAGAAAATACTGGTCGTTGGAAAAAAAATTATGTAACTGTTGATCTCTCAGGCATTGTTTACGCTGTAGGTTTTAGCCAAATTTTACTTAGCAGAAAATCATCTATTTGCAAGACTTTATTTTCTCAGAGATGGATGAAAGTAAATTTATCTTCAACTTAAGCGAAACAAAGCTTAACAGACTGAATTGTGCAAATGTGGTTTAAAATTTTGCATACCAAAGTAAGGAGAGACCAGTTATTCTTATTAGAGCACTTAGAGCAGAGTATATGTTAAGATACCATGAATAAGGTATACTGTCTGCACTGCCAAGTCTTGGCAGACCTTATCCTGAAGTAGAAGATTTGCTCATTTCTAAGTTTTTTCTCTTGTTTCTATAATTCCCACTACAATTAAAAAAAAAAACAAACCTGAATTCTTAGACATTGTACAATCAGTTATATACTGAAAAACTTAACTGATCTGCTTGTGTTGATACTTGTTTCAGGACAAGTTAGTTAGTTCACCAGGTGTATTTTGTTAGCATGAGCCTATCTATGGATTCTGGATTCTGGTTGCCAAAAGAAAGAATGTATCCCGTAGGTATTTTTGTACCACCAGTATATGGAATATTGGGGAAAAACTTTGATTTGTTTTTCTTTTTTCCTGCTTTGAAGTTTCAGTGAACTATACTCAAATGCCCACCAAGTCTGTGAAGTGATACGTGATTGTACTGTCTCCCTGATCACAGGGAGAAGATAAAGTGGTCTTGCTGGTGGTCCCTGTATTTGTCAGTCATATTAAGTTTGTTCATGTGGTTTGGGAATTACCAACTCCCAAGCAATGTTTGATTAACTTTTGCTGAGCAGATCATACTCCTGATTTTCTAGCTTTGTTCTTGTTATTTAGTAAAATTCTTTATTAGTCTAATTCCTTCCCAAGTGGATCCAGCTGGAAGATATGTCCAGAAACCTGGAGAAAAATTGACATTGCCTTTGTGTGCTGGGTTGCTCTGCTTCATTAGATCGTGATTTTGAGGTTGAGTTTTTACAGGCAAAATTTAATTCTGATACCATACTACATTCTTAATAAGACTGGTCATCTGTACAGCCTCTACATTTTTGTTGTTATAGTGACTTAGAGCAGGAAGATGTTTCGGTACTAATTGGCCATCAGTAATAGAATTCAGTGCACACTTTGCTGTTGGAACATTGTCAATATAGTCTTTCTGTAGGATGAATAAGCATGTTTGAGAGGTGCTATGAACAAGAACTCCTGGAATTAGTTGTTTCTCTTGTGGAGGGTATTACAGGACTATTTAATTATAGGACCCTCTATCTCGACACAGCTTGGTACCCAGTTACAGCGTCTGTGGGCAAGAATCTATTTTTCACAGGCCATTTCCCCTTCTTGAGAACAGGGTACAAAAGATGTTAGAGAAAAGCTCTACAGATTATGTATTTCTTTGTCCCTGTGTGCTCAACATTGTCCTTTGTCCTCCATAGAAGATGAAGGAAGCAAATTGTGTATCTACTTTCTTTAGTCTTTGAAACTTTTTTAATTGCATGATTTTATTAAGCTTGTATCCTTTAGGGAAAACTAATTTTATAGATAATTTTGTAGATTTTGAATCAAAACTCAGTCCTGATGACTTTAAATTTTTTGTAGTCTACAAACTAGTTTCATTATGGTGGGCTTGATTAGTCCAAAGTTGATTTTAGAAATTATCAGATAGCATATTGTCTTCCCATCTTCAGGAGGCTTTCCGATGGACTGAGTCTGTAGATGAAAAAGTTACTCATGTGTGAATAAGCATGTATTTCTGAAGAGCTTAGAGTGCCTTGTAGAATTTTTTTCTCGATTTCATTCTTGAGGTTATAATGTGGGGGCCAAATAGATAGGGACTGTCCTTATATGGAAGTGGAGGCTGTGACATGTCTGAGGTTAAAAAGTCTATTTGGGAAGAACAGTAACCAGGTCTCCAAATCTGTACTCATGGTTTGTCCAGAAATGTCCGGACAAATGGTTTGTCCGTGTTTTGCTCTGTTCTTTTCTCAAAGGAACGGTTCTTCCTTTGAGACAACCTTTTGGTATTTGAGAAAGTAATGGGATCTTGGTTTTTCCAGATTGGCATTAAATTGTAGGAATTAAAATTTTCTTTGACCCTGAACACATTGCCAGGTTAATTCAGCAGTGAGAATTGACATACTGGCTGGGCAGCCTTCCTATCTTTTCTATATACAGCATAAATAAATAGGAGGTGTTTATGTGGATTTTTCCCCCTTTATTTAACATTGAGTTCTAATAGTTCAGAGTATTAGGGTTCCCCCACCTTCTCTCTGTTGTTGTCTTAGTAAGATTCATGAAGTATTATATATCATCTTGGGTCTATTTGTGTGTATATAGCAGTAGGTCAAGTTTAGAGTACTAATGTCTGTAAATAAGGAATGACTATTAGCATATTCATTAGAATTGTTTATTCTTGCCAGTGTAAACATCACTTTATTTAGACTGAAGTCCCTGAAGCTTGTCCTTTTTATTGCTTCCCAGTAATAGATAATGTGCTTGAGTAAGTATGTGAATTGCAGACTGCAACTTCATTTTAGGGACCAAACTTCAGTCTTTATTTCATTAGAATGATTGTTCCTGGAATGATACATGAACTGTTTTAAGCTAGCAGAATGTTCATACTTTTTACATTGACTAAATGTGTCCTAAATGATAGCATTGATCTCCAGACATTAACACATATATTTTTATATTAGCTCAAGCTAAGGTTCAGAATTAACTTAAGAGTGATATTGAATAAAATAGTAGCTAAAGGTCAAAATGAGGTGAGGTCATTGGTCTTCAAAGGTAGAGGAAAATACTGTCTTAGCAGCTGTTAATGGTACCCCCAGTTCTTAGATTCTTGTCTTCTCAGGCAATTTTAGTCTGAAGATCTGTTGAGAAGGGCTTATTACACTGATACGTAGAATAATTAGTGGCTCTTTATGGGACCTCTGATTTCCCTGATCATCTAAGATATTCTGTCCTGCCACCTAAGAGAGTAAACAGTTGAGTCAATCTCTTCTTTTCCAGTTATTCTTTCCCCAGGGAGGTTATCTCTTTTTGTGTTTAGATTAGGAAAGCATCAAGCAGTAGCAGTGGTGCTGTGTCCTTTGGCCTAAATTCAATAGCTCTCATCTCCCAGGACTTCCTTTTCACGTGGCTCAAAGGATCTATTGTCTTTTTGCACAGAGAGGCTGGCCAGGGTCACGTAGCCATATCTGTTAGGGATGATACCCAAGAAATTAGCAGGGACCCATCTCTGAAACTGCACATTTGAAGACATGAGTTGGGAGGGTTGTTACCCAGTTGTCTACCTTGAGGCTGAGCGAGGGGCTAAAAGTCTTGTTGGAGCAATTAGTCTTTTAGTTTCTATATTTGCAGTCCAAGGCTTTTTTCTCTGTCTGGGTACATGGCTCTTCCCTCTCTTTGAACACATTTAGTGTAGTCTAGGGGTTACTCTTTACCACCAGACCAAACTGGCTGTGTTGTTAGCTTTAGGTGGTTAGGTCCTTCGTTATTCCCACTTGGCAGCGTTAGGCTTATTAGTCCCTTGCTCTTTACTCCCATCTCATTTTCTTCTGAGGTGTGATGACTAGAAAGGAACCACATGGGTATCCAGTGGTGACACCTCACCAGTCCCTAGGTTTGGGTTGAGAGAAGATGTATACAAGACCATTCCTGTTAAATTGTGTGACTACAGTGACCTGCCAGGCCAAAAATTTCCCAAGAAATCAGAAAAATTGAGATGCTGATATAAACCTGGATCATGCAGACATTAATAAGTTGTTAAAAGACAAACTTAGCTTAAAATCCACAGACGTAGAATCATACTAATTGGATTCTAGAACTTGAAGCATCTTGGCTCTCAGCTAGTTTAAAGGCCTCCCCCATTATAAATTAGGGTATCAGTGAATAAGATCCAGTTTGTTAAACCCTGGTTTGATGTTAAGTATTGTAAAGTACAAATCTTTTAACACATTAGAGGTTAAAAATGGCTATTTGATAATGGTAATGTAGTAGAAAAATGCTTTTAGGGTTTAGTATCCATAAAATTCTTAATAGCCAGGTGCTAGGTTGCTTAAGTCATTTCAATGTTGATATCAGGCTGAGCAGACTTTACAAATGGGATACATTTCTCTGTGTGTATACCCACTTCCCATTCCGAGAGAGTGGTCTTTCTCTTTGTCTTCCTTCACATTCCCTCCTTTTTTAAAATTCACATTCCTTCCTTTTTTTAAATTCTTCACTTCTTTCAACACTTACCAGATTCCCATTTTGATCTTTAGTCAGCTGGGTTCACTTTTAGGCATATCGTGTCCAAGATTGCCATTTTGCCCCAGATTGAGGACTTAGATCTAAATAATGATTCCTTAAATACGGTTTAAAACACTAAATTTCTTTTAGTTTAAAATGTTAATTCTCGAGGATGCTTTTATCAGACTTTATGTTGACTAATATTAAAAGCACTAATAGTTCATCAGTATCTTATTCTCAGAACTGTGTTTTCAGGCATGATGGAGAAAGCAATAGTGAAAATTCATACTAGTCCCTTTGGAATGATGGTGTCAGAGTGCAGAGAGGCAATGGAGTTTGTTTTGAAGCCAAAAGGACTTGTTCCTGTAGTAAGTAAAGGTAAAAATTTGGAACTAGTTGGCATATAGAGAAACCCTTAAACCCTTTCATACTAGTAGTAGGTATGAAACTGGATTGCATAAGAAGTAATCTTTGATTACTAGACTTGGTTGACTTAACTCAGGACTGCAAATCCCTTTTCCTCCATTTAAAGTCACTTCTCTTAATTTGGAATGTTTTTATCTAACTCTCCCCTCTGCTGGAATACTCTGGCTGTTCAGCTTTTTTGACTCCTGGGAGAAGATTTAGCTGAGGTTCAAAGTAATTAATAGGCCTTGCCCATGCTGAGTCCCACACCATTATTCACTTAGTCATATAAATATTTTTATTTAAACTTCTCTCTGTCCAGTGCTGGAAATAAGGCTTTAAACTACTGATTCACCTTTAAAGGAATGTTGTGAGAATTGATGTAATTTGTGTTTATGTTTCCATTTTAATTCCTTCGTAAAAGGTAAGATTTAGTTTTTTATTTTGGAGTGAGCACCCCATTTATTTGGTAACCAACACCTGTAACCATTGGCATATAGTCTTTTACTGAAAAATAGGATTTGCTGTATCTGTATCATTACTACTCTCATGCACTTTACTTTTTAGAGGAGTACCATATATAATCTGAGGCTGTTGACTTAAACCAATTACGTTACCTTGTGTAACCACTCTTAAATTTGGTTACCTGAATTCACAGCATGTTTGAAACAAGGGATGCCAGAATAAAGTAAACAACAGCTGGAGAGCATGTCAAGATATAAAAGCACAGTGGTCTCAGATTCTTCTTAGTATAGGAGCAGTGGTTTTGCTGTCCTAGGAAAAGCACTGTACTGTAATTATTGCTCATAATAGTGAAGCCCTCCCCTCTTTCTTCAAGATGGTTTACGTTCAGTGAACTCTGCAATAAGGGAAATACATATTACAGTGATTTTTTTTAACAATAAATTTTTTAACAAGTTGACAGTAGAGATCCACAACCTAATTTATCTTGGTAAATTCACTCTGTTCTCTAGTGCTGCTGGATAAAGGAGTGTTAGAGTGTTTACTTTTTTTTATTGCTTTTGGACAAGCTAGTCTAGATAATTTTTAAAGTTATCAGTGTAGCCTAGACTTCTGTAAGTGGAATGTTCGTTGATAACTCACATTTTTGTTGTAATAAATGGAAACTGAAACTAGGCTTATTGCTATTATTGAAATTCTAAATTGACAAAGGCCAATATATATGGTATTCCATACTATAACCAGCTTTTGAAATTTATACATTTGAATTAGTGCCTTCTGGTTGCCAGTATTGACTCTGCTAGTTTGCACCTTTCCCTTTCTTAATTGTTATTTCTCTTCTTAATTTTTGTTACAACTAGTGAAGGAAGTGAAAAAAAAACAAAAACAGTATATTTACATCCTTTATATGTGGCCTTTATTTAGGTTCAGTGAAACCAGGTAGCTCTATGTTGCAGCCTAAATGTTATTTATTTGTCTTTGTTTCTTGTATATGCATAATAAAAATTTTACTTATATTCTGTGATATTATTTTAATTTTGTTGTTTTTCCACTGTAGGTTTGGTAGACATATCTGAGAACAGATGAGTGACAACAGTTTATATTCCTTGACAGAGAAAAAGCTAAAGTCCATAGAAAGCACAAAATTGTGTTCACACATGTATGTATCCACACATAGAAAGCACAAAACTAGTTAGTAGTGTCAGTATTCCACAAGTGCCAGCCATAAAGCCCAGCAAGGTGTTTGTCTCAGAGTTGTTATGAGGATACAGTTTTGAAAGCCCAAGACAATATGGTATCTAAGTTTTGGGTCCTAAATGTTCAAAGTAATAATTTGGCAGAGGGAGAGAATACAAATGTTAATGCTGCAATTGTATTTGGGGGTTACTAGCTAAAATGGGGTCTGTGGGCTCTTTCCCACAATCTGGAACTAAAGACACAGAGATAGATGCCTTGGTTTTTGATGAGTGGAACAGGTGACACACTTTTGCTGTAAGCTGTAGAGTCATTGGAGTTGTTTTTTTAAATTCTTAAATCTTTAGGAAATGTTACCTCTTATCAGCAATGCCCCCAAAACTTGGAGAAATTCATAGTTTAATAGGGCAAATATTAATGCCACTTGTCATTAATTTTTGTGTAGGTTTGTATGTGAGAAATGAAGTTACCTTTTTTGTCCCTGTTTGCTTGACTGCTTCATTATAATAGAGGAGAATTTGGTCCAAATATTCTGAGCATCAAACTCATTCTGAAACAGATTTGCCAAATGAACTACCTTGCTTTTCACAATGGCACTAGGAGTCTAAAGGATTCTTTTACTTGTCCCATTACCCTCTTCAAGACTAGATGAGATGAAATCTGTGAATGTACATGCAAAAGAAGAGAATAATGTGTTTTTTCTTCCAGTTGGCATGGCACTTACCCTACCCCTCACTTCCTCTGAGGAGTCACTGCTACAAGCATGAATAAAATATCTTTGTCTTAAATTTTGCCCATATATCGAAAGATAGAATTCATAGAATGGAAGAGAAGTGACTACCTTTGTTCCTATTCTTTTCTATTTTGTATACTTATCTTTTTAGGGAAAGACTTTGTCAACTCTAAAATGTCTAGAACAGAGCTTATAGCTGGTGTAAACTAATGTGATATATTTTAGAAGAGTTAACCTGAACATTTTGAGGGAGAAATTCCTTCAACAAAAAGCTAGCCAGGTGTATACCTACATTATTTGAGAATGTGAAACCTCAGCCTTGGGAGAATGAGGGGAAAGAGGAGTGCCAGAAATGCAGGAAAAAGGAGAAGTTTGAGGAACATCCTTGGCTTAGCAGTATGTGATAATGCAGAGTAGTTATAACCTGTTAATCCCATATATTATGTATTCTGTACCTTTAAATGTTTTTAAATTTAAAATAGTTTGTAAGAACTTTAAGAAAGATTGCATTCTTAAGGTATTTGGCAGAAATATCTTTCATTTATAATTCCATGGAAAACGCTTTAATTAGCCTAGGTGAAAAGTAGTCCTAGCAATGTAAATATGTATAATTAGAATTTTCTAATTTCACTGTGAGATCTCTAACTCTTGAGTGGCAAACAGATCAAGTCTTTTGCTCATGGACTTTTCTGTGGGGTTGTTGAAATGCAAAAGCTTTATTTTTTTTAATAATGACATATTACGTTAGTGTCAGATAATGATATGGAATCTGTTCCCTGCTTCCCCCACCGTATTGCTTCAGTTTATAGATTGCCAGCAGAGTTCCGAAATAGAGCAGGGATTTACCCATTCTTTGTGTGGACATCCCATTTTCTGTTGTCCAGACCTATGTTGGCAATCACATATGAACTGTATTATGCTTCTCAGTGCTTTTTTTTCTTTTTGATAAGATGGATATCAAAAATAGTTGCTGTGCAAAAGTTAGTAGTCTTCTTCAAGAAGAAAACCAATTCCTTTTCTAATAATATCCTGTGAAATTGCTTCATTCATTCATTCATTTTTAAGCCAAATGTCAGCAGAATACTGCTGCTTTTATCTAGTAATTTTGATATATAAGTATTAATGCATTTTTAAAGATGTCTACATAGAAAAATGTTTTTCCCAGTGTCCTGCCTGTTACGCTTTGTTCAGATTTTCTGTAAGAGACCAGTCAGTGCACTGGGGGTGTGTATTGTGTACCTGTATCATTTTAGTCCCTTAAGCATTGTAGACCAAATGTGATTATAGATGAAGTTGATAAACATTAATTTTGTTATTGGTGAGTTTTTTGAATTGTAAACTGATTTCAATTTACTCCTCATTGTGCACAGTTTCTTTAAGATGTGACTAATTGGATCCATCTCATTGTACAATGTTTTAGATGGAAGCAGAAAGTAGAATTTGGTGTAAAACCAGGTTACTTCCGTATCGAAAGGAATATGATTGAAATTGTAGATTTAACATTGTTAATCATTCATGACAGTTCTAACTTGACTGTTCTAACCTACTGTGTACAATCTGATTTTTAAAATTGTAGACATGTATGATCTTGGTTTAATGTGTTTTTAAAAGTGTTATTGTTTAAAATGAAAAAAATGAAGCATATCTGCTAAAGAGCTGTCAGTTTTCATTACTGACTCTGTAAAATACACTGTTCTTTGTGTACTGTGTGTTATTTTGCCAGCTGCTGCATTAGCCTTCAAAAGTATTTGGAAACTTAAGATGAACTGCATTTCTTGCAAAGTATATTCCTTTCTGTGGTATTTTGTCCTGTAACTGAAGTATAGTAATTATTTTATGGAAATGTTAGCAATTCTGTACCAACTTTGAATAAAATGAAAAATTTATATTTCTGTGACTGAGTATATTCAGTATGAACACATGTCTACCCCCCAAAATTTATATAGTGTTCTGTGTGTTAGAGTTGAAGAGGTTTTACCTCAGTTTCTTTTCTCTTGGCTCATGAATGGTGTCCAGAGCATTTACCCTGCTGAGTATATATAAAATACTGAGTGAATTAAAATATTCTTGGTTTTTTCACTTCTAATTCTGAAATAATTTCAGATTACAGGAAAGTTGTAAGAATAGAGTGAAGAATTTAGGAATTCTCATATTCATCCAGATTGACTGATAGTTAACCTGTTGCCACATTTGTTCTTTCCAGCACACATTTTTTTCTGACCAATCATATACATTTTTTCTGAACCATTTGTGGACATAATTCCCCTTTACCTCCTAAGCATTTTGGGTTTTTTTTCTTAAGGACAGTCACTCATAATTATCAAACGCTGAAAAGTGATTTTTAATCCAGAGATACTCAAATGTTTCTGATTCCAGTAATGTGTTTATAAGCTTTATTATTATTTTTCAAACTTTCCAAAGCTAGTTCATTGCATTTAGCTTTTAGGTCTCATCTCTTTTAATCTGTAGCGATTCCTTGGCTGGCTGTTTTTCGTGGTATTGACCTTTTTCACATAATACAGGCCATTTTGTGAATGTCCTTCCCCAATTTGTGTTTGTTTCCTCATGATGAGATTCAGACTATGCATTTTCATCGGGAATATAGCATAAGCGATGGTAGTGTCCTCAAAGCTTCATATGAGGAGGCAAATGATATGTTGTCCCATTATTGTTGACATTAACTTTGAAAACTTGGTCAAGGTTGTGTCTACCAGGTTTTTCCACTGCCAAGTTACTATTTTTCCCTTTGGCAATTAAGTAATTTGTGGGGAGATAGAGATTATTTGTGGGGAGATATAAATAACCTATTTCCCACCAAACTTGAATCCCTAGTTTTAGCATCCATGCATAATTCTTGTTTCAGTTACTGCTATGATGGCTGATTTTCTAAGTTCTTTTGAAGGGAGCATACTGAACTCAAGAGCTTCCCCTTTTCCCATTTATTTGTACAAACTCATGGATTCTCTTCTGTAGGGTATAATCCATTACAGTCGTTGTTTTGCTCAATTGTTTGCAGATGTAGCTGGTGGAACCCCTCTCAGGGCAGTTCTTTGTCCTTTTGTGACATGTTCCTGTCAATTTTTGAGCACTTCTTACTTTCCAACACAAGGTGTTCCGGGCTCAGTTTATCCTTTCTCTGCCCCAGTCTGGGCATTGGTCTGAGTGTGTGCATTCCTACAGGGGTGTCCTGACTTCTGGGCCCTTCAGTGTAGAGAGCTAGAAAATTCGTACGCAGTCATGCACCACACAGCGCTGTTTCGATCAACAATGGCCTGCATGTGTGACGGTGCATCCATAAGATCATAACGGAGCTGAAAAATCCCTATCGCCTAGCGACATTGTAGTGTGTAGCGCGATACTTAATTATGAGTTTGTGGTGGTGCTGGTGTCAACAAACCTTCTGTGCTGCCAGTCTTACAAAAGTGCATGGTAATGTCCTAGGCTATCCCATTCATTCACCGACTCACCCAGAGCAGTTGCTGTCTCCTGTAGGCTCCATTTATGGGAAGTGTCCTTTACAGCAGGTATATGTTTTATACCATATTTTTATTGTACCTTTTCTATGTTTGGATATACCTTATACCATTGGTGTATCTTTTACTGTACCTTTTCTATGTTTGGATATGTTTAGGTACACAAATACCAATGTGTTATATAGTTGCCTATAGTGTTCGGTACAGTGACATCTGTACCTGTACAGGTTTGTAGCTTAGGAGCAACAGGCTATCCCACATGGCCTAGGTGTCCAGTAGGCTATGCCAACTAGGTTTGTGTAAGTATACATTATGATGACACGGCAGCACAGTCACCCAATGATGCATTTCTTAGAATGTTTCCATTGTTAAGCATCTACAGATGCCTCCAGTTCTAACCCAGCGTTACCCCATTCTGTGTTCGTATCTCCCTTCTCCAACAGTGAGAAATCTGCTGATAATATTGACACTACTCATTTTTCCCAATCCTACAACTGCCTTGTGATTTAAAAATTTTTTTTTTCACGTCAAAAGTCTTTATTTTACCTCATGTTTGCTTGAAAATTTGACTGAATATAGAATTCTAGGTTGGAAATCACTTTCCTTGAGAAGTTTGGAAGCGTAAGACCGTATTTTCTAGCTTCTAGTCACTGTTCTGAAGTTTTACAGTTAACGTGCCTTTTCTTTCACTGTAGCTGGCCTGCAGTGGGCTCTTTCGGTTTGGCATCTCATAACTGTCCTCCGCTCTCTCCCATGTGGAACACCTTTTGTGAAGCTCTTGGGTCTCCTGGAATGGTACACTTAGTTTTGTACGTCTTCTCTTTTTTCATCTCTTTTTGCTCTTTCTAGGGGTGTTTCTAAACTATTGAAAGATAATTTTTCAAAAGTTTCTGCCAGGTTTTTGATTCTAAGAGCTCTTTTGTTCCCTGAATCTTTCTTTTTTATAGCTACTCGTTCTGGTCTCATGAATGCTCTATCTTCTGAGCTCTGAAGACACCGTAGTCACCTTCTCCTGCATTATTGTATGTTCCAAGATAGTTTTTTCTGTTTGTGTTTTCTCATTTTAAAGGCTTTTCTCTGATGTGTGCTGATCCTTGGTTGTCTGCTTATATTTAATGAGGTGGACAAAAAAATGAGCTGAACGTGTGGATGGAGAGTGCCGGCATCACGGCTGAGTCTACACAGCCTGGCTGTTTGTCTGAAAGTCCTGTAGTATCTTTAAAACAGGTCAAGTTCCCCAAAGAAAGTTCTTTAACTGAAGGGTAAAAGTTCTCACGTCATCATTCTGATAGCCAAATGGGGAAAGTGCAGGGTTCCCAGCATTTGGTCTGTATTTTTTTCTTAATCTCTTTTTGGTGCAATACCCCACAGCTATGCATGAGTCCTGCAATCCAGAGACTTCTGTTTTTTCTACTCCAGAGAACAGCCTCCAAATTCATATTTATGCATCTAGGGATCCCTAGATTCTCTCCTTAAACTTTCGACCACCTGAGTTTTTATCTTAGTCTCACTTCACCACCATTTTCGGAGGTGACTGTTGATATGATCAGTTCTTGATTTTCCCATTGTCGCTTTTCTCCGTCTACTTCCTTTCTTCCAAAATTTTATTGCTGTTCCTTCTTTTCTATATCCCACATTCTTGCAGGGTTATACCTGGAAAAAAAAAAAAAACCCAGCACAATATATACATTTATCAAAGCATCATGTTGTACACCTTGAATATATGCAGTTTTTATTTGTCAGCTATACCTCAGCTGAAAAAAATCTCTTTACAGTAGTGCTAGTAGGTTTTCAGGAGGGTGCACAATTAAATGTTTGTGTTGCATCTTTTCACCTTGCCTGGAAGTTCCGGTGTCCATTCTTCATTTAGCCTTGATGGTTGAAATTTCAGAAGCTTTTGCTCATTTCTGCCCTTCCCTTGAAAGAACATGTTGACTACCTGGAGCATGGTTGGAGTCTTAAAATTCTATTTCTAAGTGCAAAACTATGAAGATTATTCACATTCTAAGAGGCCTTAGAAGCTGTATAGTTGATTTCTTTTGTACAATGCACAAATCCCACCCATCAAAGTTTGCTCCCTCCTCACCCCCTCCCAGAAAGTGTCCTGCTCTGTCGCCCATGCTAGAGTGCAGTGGTGTCATCATAGCTCACTGCAACCCCAAACTCCTGGGCTCAAGTGATCCTCTTGCCTCAGCCTCCCAAAGTGCTAGGATTATAGGCATGAACCACTGTGCCTGGCCCATCAAAGCATTTTTATTATGATATTTATTTAAATACTCAGTCCATCCAACAACACAGATGTTCAGTGTAGTGAGTACAGTTGATTATCGTTATTCACGGTAGGGAGGTTCTATAAATTCACCCGGAATACCAAATTAGTGAATACTGAGTCATTGCTCCTTGGCCAAATTGTCAGTTTTCCTTTGAGCCTCTGGTCAGGTCAGTTTTGTCAACTGATCAATATATAACTTTGTTTTCGATGTGTTTCTGTTTAAACATGCCATATTTACTACATGTTGTTGATTCGTTAACAATGAGCTCAAGACCAACAGCAGTAAAACTGGTGCCTGAGTGAAGCTCATCTAACACGTATTTTCTCCCTAAGGCACATCATGGCCTTGTGCTTAGGAACACAGCACTTCATCACTACACTTAGGAGCCATTTTAAATGGTGAAATCGCCACCAGAAAGCACACAAATGCGAAAAACATGGCACTAAGTAGACTGCAGAAAGGACACTTGTTTATAGCATGAGAGCTGAAACAAAAAGGCCCAGTGTTGCCTTGTTCTACCTCAGCTGGGAACACGCTCAGTAGGCGACTCAGATTTTCCACCACTCTGCATGTGTGCCTGTCTACAAATGACTGCGAACTTGCTGGGAATGTTGATTTGGGGGTTGCAAGTAAATTTTAGCAAGTAGGCAAACTGGCAAATACAGATTTTACGAATGGTGAGATGTAACCACCACCCATAAAAAATAGAACATTATCAGTCCCCCCACCCCCAAGAATGCTCTTTCTGTTTTCAGAAAGTTATCATTTTAAGCAAATTTCTTATTGACCCCAAATCTGTCTCTGGCTTTTACTCCCAAGTTCTGCCTCTCAAGTGTTTTCTTTATTTGAAAGTAAATATTGAAGATAAATGTATTAAGTCTCAGAATCAGGTTTAACTTTCTCTATGGTCAGGGGTGGGTAACACAGGACATGGGTTTCAGACCCTTTACCATGTTCATCTTTTGTTTTTTTCTGGGTAACTTTGAGGCATTTGAGGTCCTTTTTTGTATGTGGCCTCCAAGTTGAATTCAGTCCTCCAGGGTAGACACTGCTAATGTTGGACTAATATAGTAATGACAAAGAAATACAACAAAATAAGGACTGCCATTTCATCTTGTTTCTGCTCCCCTTCCAGTTCTAATCTTAAATCTCACCGTCACTTCTTAATGCAGACCCTGGTAAAGTCCTGTCAACATCAGCTTTCTGACTCAGTTTCCAGAAGTTTATCAGCTTTTCCGAGTGTGGATTTTGTTGTTGCTGTAATATTCCCTGTACACACTAGGGATTGAGCATCCATCCCAGTTTTTGTTTTGTCCCAAGAATTTTTAGAAGCTTGGAGGCACCATTAAGGATTTCTGTCTCTACCTTGATTTTTGTTTCTGTCTTTCATCTTGTTTATCCCTGTTTCCTTTACTCTGCATCTCTGTTTTTGACTAACAGGATTTATATTAGCTTAATTATGCATCTCTGCCTTTCAAAAAACATGTTGCTGCTTTCCACTTTGCAGTGAAGATCTTATTTTTTTTTCTTAAGTTTTATGACTCAGTTTAATCTTTCCTTTCTAGTTGTATTAAGTACAGTTAGCAACTTAGATCCCTCAACTTTCCATTTATTTTTTGATTTATACATTCATCAAACATTTATTGAACATGTACTACATGCTAGGTTCTTTGCATCTCCAGCATCTAGCAAAGAGGAGTAAGAGGCAACCTTGAAGAGGTTAATTTGGGGAAGGGGACTCCTAAACAATCACACACTTGCAAGATGTATGTGGAATGAGAGAGATATGTGGGTTACAGAGGAAAGGTACGCTGCTAGGAAGTTGCTGCATCTTTTTTTTTTAAGACAGCTTTATTGAGATATAATTTACATATAAAATTCACCCATTTAAAGTGTGTAATCCAGTAGTTTTTAGTTTGTTCAGAGTTGTGCAGCCATCCCCACAATCAATTTTAGAACATTTCTGTCACCCAAAAAAGAAGGTCCATAACCATTTGTAGTCACTCCCCATTTCTCCCCACCATGCAGCCCAGGCAGTCACTCACCTACTTTCTGTCTCTATGCATTTGCCTATTCTGGACATTTTTTTCCCCAGTTAGAGTGGCTTTGATTAAAAAGTCCAAAAACAATAGTTGCCAGTGTGGACATTTGAAAAAAAATTCATGCTAACTATATATCCTTTGACTGACACCTGCCAGCCCCACTCCACCATAGCCACCTAAGCCTCTGGAGACAGCCCTTCTGCTCTCTACGTCTGTGAGATCAACTGTTTGAAATTGCACATATGAGTGAGATCATGTGCTGTTTGTCTTCCTTTGCCTGGCTTGTTTCACTTAACGTAATTCAGGGAAATGCAAATCAAAAGCACACTGAGGTATCCTCTCATACCTGTTAGGATGGCTGTTCTCAAAAAGACAAAAGATAGGCGTTAGCAAGGATGTGGAGAAAAAGGAACCCTTACACACTGCTGGTGGGAATGTAAATTAGTGCAGCCATTATGGAAAACAGTACGGAGGTTCCTCAAAATAATAGAAATAGAACTACCATATGATCCAGCAGTCCCACCGCTGGTGTCCTATACAAAAGGAATGAAATCAGTGTACGCAGCACTAGTCACAATAGCTGAGATATGCAGTCAGCCTAAGTGTCCATCAGTGGATGAATGGATAAAGAAAATGTGGTGTCTGTACACAATAGAATACTGTTCAGCCTTAAAAAGAACAAACTCCTGTCATTTGTTGACAACATGGAAACCTAGAGAACATGTTAAGTGGAATA